ATAACGTAACCGTTCCACACAATGGAGCTGGCGCTTACACTCACACGCACAAACACACGCGTCGATTTTGGGTTTCGAAGACGTACCGGGGACTCTTTTTGAATCCCTTTACGCTGCCACCATTTAATGTTATGAGCCTCGGGAAGAATGGCTTTTTAAAAAAAACAATTTTATTTATTTAGTAGGACAGCCGTCTGGTTAGGAAGTTGGATCGAGACTGCGGATCGTATGGATGGGACTGGCGGCTATGAGTACATAATGATGAGCTTGCAGTCTGTGCAAGGCAAGGGTGCATGGTGTGCTAAAGGGGATACATATACTATCTATAACAGTACGCGATATAAGGCTATTTTTTAGTATTTTTAACACACGTTGGGTTACATTATCGAAGTTTTCATACAGAACCGTAACTTTTTTGAAAAAACACTATAGCCTATATGAATCAGTGACAATGTAGCTTTTAATAGGTGAAAGAATTTTTAAAATCGGTCCAGTGCTCTTTGAGCTAATTCGTTACAAACATACTTACATACAAATCTTTCCTCCTTATGATATTAGCATAGATATTCCATTACATTATTTTTTTAAAGAAAAAGATAAGTAAGTGGGTACCTACTATTGTTTTTGATGATTCATTATTGAATTAAGAAAAATAAAATAATAAAAAATCAAAATAGGTATGTGTTGGGTCCTTGTGAAAGAACCGAAATCCTAGACCTTAAAACAACGAAGTTCTCACAAATTTTGACCAAAGGACAATGGGAAGAAACGTCCCCACCCCCCAACAGATTTGGAACAAGTGTCATTCGAAGCGTCTCGTCTAAGGTATAGGGTAGTGGCACCAATAAATGAACGATTAAGAGCTTTTTGCAACTTTGAATCCCTTTTCCTCGGCCTTTTCGAACTATTGGCGCTTTCTGATATTTTTTATGATTCCAGATTATCCTCAAGATTTTAGTAATTTAAGAAAATAATTCCCTAGGCTACCAGTTTTTTGATAAAATAACTATTTGTGTAAAATTTGTGGTTTTACCCCTATACTTGAACGACGTGTCTTAATTATGAACGTTTAGAACCCAATAGTTGAACTAACATTTTGATTGGAATAGGATGCTATTTTATTTAATTTTTCAATTTCTGAATAAAAAGCATTATTTGCGAATAAATTCTTTTATCTCTTTATATTCAAAAATCACATTCTTTTCTATTAATATTTTTTGTCTTTGCGAGATCAATTGACTCGTTACATAAACTAATCAACTTTTAACAAAAAAAATATTATTTATACTAATTAATACACCTAAATATTACACAGTCTCAAGAAGTACCCGTATTTATTTTATTTAAGTACAATATTATTTACCCAATTATCGAATTAATCAACGAAGTAATACAATTAGAACCTAATAATTGAGATCACAATCACAACCTCACTAGTAAACTAAACAATCCCGGGGGCGTCCTAGTGATGTGGCGCACGCTAAGGTGCGTCGATCCTGAGACGCCCCCATATGGGGTAGGAGGGTACCGAGGGGTTTTAGTGGAGTAGGATCAGTGTGGCCTTCCGCACTGGTCCTGCTTGAGTAGGGTCCGCACTGTTTCCCGTGCCGGCAAGTCTCACACACGCCGTGCGCCTAGTCAGCGTCACGGTATAGTGCGTAACTGCATTTCCCCTCATCACAAAAAAATAAAAGTAAACTAAACAATAGCTGGACCTGACTAATAAATTTAACAATAGCAGGAGCCAACTGTAAGCAAAACTAAGTTATTAAACTTACACCACTAATCTGGGTGAAACAAATGTATTACCTATGTAATGTAATAACTACTAGGTCTGTAGTTAAGTTATTCACACAAATTGAGATCATTGTTGTGTTGTGGCTGAGGTTTTTTCAAATGTAATCAATCCTCTTCTTCCAATTCGGGGAGACGGTAAAACATTTATGACAGCTGATATTGATACTTCTGTTAAATCAGCAGTGGAGGGCTCATTGAAATATGTCAAATTGTCAAATGTGCTGGCCTCCTTCCTTAAACATTTAACTGTAACGGAGTCATTGTCAAAGTCAATTTTCAGGACTTTTTCGACATAGTAGCGATTTCTTTTATTAGTCTCAAACCACAACACAACGTAATCTTCAAAACTTATGCTCTTATCGTTATCCCTAATCAGACTTGTTATTTTCATTGATCATTTCAGTCTCTTCGGTACTTACATCCAAAACTAGTAGTAGCAGTTCTATGTTTCTCGATTTTAGTTAATTGACTTTGAACTGTCGTTTCTTCCTTTGCAGCAGCACAAATTTTAGCTTTACTGACCTTAGTATTTACTTTCTTTACTTAGATTTCTTTACTTTAATAGTTTTATCCTTTTGCTTGTTCTCGCTGGATTTTTCTATTCCTTTTATCTTCTTTCTTTTTCTGCTCATTATCTTGAGTTCCAGGTATTCTTTAAATTTTTTAGAAGTTATTGCTAGAGGAACTGGTGATTGTAATTGTTTTCGCTTTGTATCTACTTTGGATTAAGGAAGTTTCAGCGACTCATCAATCTTATATTTTATTACTTTGGTACAGACCGGTTAATTAGTTTCAGGAGTTGGATCAGACGTACATTGACTTTTTTCACATGTAAAGTCAGGACTTTGGGCACCTTTTTCATTGTTGAGCAAGTCTTCTTGCTGTGATAAATCCTGAATAATCGGAGCAACGTCAAGGTTCTGGGATGTTCCTTGATTATTCGACACATCAACTTTGAAATTTGAAAAACAAAATTACTTAAGCGTTCAACTTAAAAACCGATACCCAAAAGTTGAACGAATATAATTTGAACATAATTGTTTGGTTCAAGTTTTAGGCATGAATCCTAAAATTGAACAGTAAATGATTTCATACTAAAATAAAAGACGTAAAAATAAACAAAATCTTTTACAAATTATGTTCAACTTTTGGTAACTAGCTTCATAATATTATTTAAAATAAATTTGAGTTGTTTTGGTTTGACTATACGAATCATTATATAGATTATTGATGTCTGCAAATATTTGCACTATTTCCAATAGTTGAACGCCGTTCATTTATTGGATTTTACTTACAAAATATAATCCATTACTTGAACAGAGTATTTCTCTAAAATACAATAAATTGTGCATAAACCTGACACTACGTAATCAAAGCCAAATATATCAAGATGTTATTGCAACTATAACCAACAAAACAAAGCTATAATTATATGTTTAATTTGACGTTATGCTTAAATGTGGAAGCTACTTACCTTAAGTAGGTTTCCATAGAAAACTGATTTTTGGAGGAAGGAGCTTGCGCGGCGCGGGACTGTGAGCGCGTCGTTGACATTAATGTTAATATTTTAATGGCATCGAGCAGAAAAAGTATTGCCATATTACATAAAAAAATATTACACAAAAGTAAGCGGCAGATTTTTTAATATCTTTAAATTTCGGTCGAACGTTCATCTATTGGGGGTCGTTCATGTTTTGGTGCCACTACCCTATAATTTCTTACTATGACGACATTCTGCAAATATATGAAGTTTAGGTTTTATAAATTCTAGAGTGCCCTGCAGTTTCACCCGCATTCATCATCAGCCTATTATGGTCCCCACTACTGGAGCACAGGCCTTCCCTATGGATGGATTTTTTTCTTAAACTCAGAGGCGGCTCAGTGTGCCACCAGTACCCTGGCGGCCCCTAGTAGATGCGGGGTCAAAATGGAATATTTACAGTTATATTTTCATAAAAAAATCAGGTGCAAATTACAATCACAACTTTGTAGTTCTTTTAATTTAAAACTATAATATCTTACAGGACGCTCGTACACACTAATATACACACAAACAAATGTTTTTACAAGAAAATTACTTTTCGTGCTTTTGCATTAGCGAAATCTTTACTAAAAACAAAAACTAAAATTAGGGACATAAAATATCGTTAAGACCAAGATCGATGAGGGGGTATATCACTAGCGCTGCTAGATGACATTAAAATTCGTTGAAAGGCAAGAGCCGTTGGTTCCTGTAGCCTTTGGTTTCTTATGCTGTATTTTTGATATAGTTTCATGATCAACTTCTTGTAAAAATAGCAATTTCTACTTTAATTGGTTGCTTATCGGTGAAAACTTAGGTTAGGTCTATTTTTGTTTTGACACAGGCTACAATCAATTACAGAACACTTCATATTTATGTTTAGTGAGAAAGAAAGTTAACAAAAAGGTTTTTGACGAAACAAATTAAGGAGAGTAGGGTGACTACGCAAAAGAAATCTATGGACTACTACTGGCTGTCAAAATATGACATTTTGGAAACTGCTGTTGAGGTACAAAGTGCGGATGAGAATCAATGCCGTACAAAGATGTACTGTAAAACTGTACTTCCAGGGCCCAAGAGGTGATACTTGTATTTCTTTTGTAGAAAAGGTCTCTTTTAATAGTTTTTTCATCCCACCACCTCGGAAAGTGTAATTTTGCGCTTCGAAATCTGGCTGGAAAATTCTATTTTATTCGCTTGAGCGGCAAAGTAGATTTGAATTTAGAACATCACATATAATGAGTACTCAATATAATTGTAAATTCAAAACGTCATTAAACCTATTTAATGTAACCTCTATGGTGCCAAATTTATGATTAGAACTTTTTAAATTGTGAAAAAATTTAAATTTGGAACCTTCTTGGTTTCTTTGTTTTATTTGCGTGCTTCGCGCCATTCTAGTTTTTCACGTTTTATTGCTTAAATATTTTGTCATTATAAATTGTTTTCTTTTTCATTTTGTCATTTCCTCGCTGAGGTGGGATGAAAAGTTACGTATTGCACTCGAGTGGAAAGATTTTTCACCTTGTGCTCGTTTGTTTCCCTCGCTGACGCTCAGGATTCTAATTTAGAATCACTCGCTGCGCTCGTGATTCAACTTTAGAATCCTTCGCTTGCTCGGTCATCCAAATCGAGCACGCGGTTAAAAAGGAACTTTCCACTCTTGTATAATAAATAACTATTTTTCTGGCGCTTCTCCGGCCGCTGCCGCGGCACGCTCGCTTTACTCGCTCGGCTTGCGCGTTATCGTCACAACACTAACCTAAACTTACCTAGTGTGAAGTATTATCGTTTGAGCCCCGGAAGAACAGTTGAAGAAGAAGCCTACTATTGTCATATGTACCAAAGTACCTTTAATACTTCTAAATATTTGATAGTTTTCTAAATATAAATGTGTAAGTTGAAGTTGAGTTGTGTTGACATGTTTGATGTTTAATTTAGAAAAAATCTTTTATTTGTTTATTTTGTAACAAAAATTTGATTAAATTTGTTTGTGCCATTCGGACTTAAATAACAATAAACAAGTTCTTAAATATTCAGGATTTTTAATAAATATTTTATGGACACCCTAATTATACGATCCGGCCAAATGTGGATGACCAAATCGTTAAATGTTGTATGCTTTCCAATTACAGAGCATAATGCGACTCAGTGCCGCACAATGCCCAATTATGCTGATGCTTAATTGGAACGTGAATTAGTTTTCAAATGCACCAGCAGAGTGCGCTAAGTTCAGTGTTCAAAAAAAGTCAAAGTAAGCATCAGCATATTTCGGCATTGCGCGCCACTGAATCGCATTATGCTGTGTAATTAGAAAACTACCTGTACGTATGTATATGTTTTCGTGTCATTTCCATATGATTCCATAATCAGAGATTAAAGTTAACCTGCTGTCAAAATGACAAATAGCTAACCTGAACAGCCACGTGAAGTGCCGGCACACGATTAGTGGCAATACAGTGCTACCAGCTTAGAAGGTTTCGACTAAATCTAGTTTTTATTGTTATTCTACGGAGTTTTTGAGTGAGGAGAGGAAAAATTCCTTCTTACTATGTTATTATCGTGAAACTTTAGGCTGACATTTACTTACACAGCCCGAATCAGAATCCGGATTCATAATATGAATTCATATTTTTTATTCAGAGCTAACGGAATTACACTCAATGTAACTACTTACTATCCACACACTTAATAATTATGACTGAGATTATAAATGTATCATTTAGATCTTTCAGAATGACAAGGTGACAAGCGTTATGAAAAATCATGGTATGAAAAAGCAAACACACCTCTTTGGGGCCGTTCATTTATTACGTAAGACGATTTAGGGGGGAGGGGTGTTGACCATGTTTGTCTTATTTTTTATTACAAGGGGGTGGAGGGAGTCTCGATAGTTCTTACGTAAGATCACAAAAATGCGCAAAGTTAAAATTATACTTTTAAATAGCGCAGGCATCCGCGCGAGTGCCGAGGTTCACTCGGATGCGTATTTAAAGATAAACGATTTCCATTTCCATGGCAACGGTCCCACGCCACCCGCTACAGTGGTATAAGGTAAATATGAATGATCAAAACCAAAGTTTATTAGTACTCAAACACTTCTAATAATTGTTACTTTGAAAAACAAACATTAAAGCAACCCAAAGTGTATTTATTTTTCCCTTTAGATTTTTACTTAATAAATATTATACAGAGTGAAGGGGTCGATCTATTATATAATAACGAGCGAACCTTACAGTAGTCGCGTATGATGTGTAACATCTAAAACCTTACCTTATATTAGTAAAAAAAGAAATAAAACTTACTGCAAAAGGAATATGCCATTCGAACATTATTTTCTAAAATCAAACCCCGCTCACCCCATGCTCACTACGCTCGCACGTGTGGCTCGTTTATGCGCACCGTCAGTAAATGCGAGTCTTATCTAGGTATTACATTTTAGGTATTTGGTCCCCATTTCTTTTTATCATAAAATCATTTTTGATGTGTAACATCTTTCCTCTCGCTTTTCTGTAATTTGTGGGAGCGATTTCGTGAAATGGGACGGAAGTGTGTAGCAGGAAGTCGCGAAAGCGCGCACTATTTTATTTGATTTTAGAACATAATATTCCAATGGCTTATTCCTTTTGTAGTAGGTTTTATTTCATTTTTTACTAATGTAAGGTGAGGTTTCAAATGTTACACATCATACGCGACTACTGTAAGGCTAGCTCTTTTTTTTTAAGTTTTAATTAAAACGAAATAGTTTCGTAAGATATGGTAATACTGACTGTCTGTCAAAGACAATAATTTTATTATCTGTGCTCCTCTTAATGATTGATTTTTGTCGTGAATTTCTCTAAAATCCCAGCTGTTCAGCTGCAGCATCTGCATTGCGCCTGCTTAAACCAGTGCACTGCATTTGGAAAAGTGCGTTCCGCAAATTGGTCACCATGTCGACAGCTTTAGACGAAAGGTAACGCTTGGAACTTTGAGATGTACTTGCAGATTATTGTTTAGCGGTATTCGCCACAATAAATTCTTGATTTACAGAGTTACAGACGAAGTGGAGGCCTTAGAAGCAATATTAATGGACGATGTTGTAATAAAAAGGGTAAATGATGTGCCCAATATAATAGAAACTGTGGTGCATCCATCTACAGGAGACGACGTAGATCAGCAATTCGTCTGCATCACATTAGAAGTGAAACTGACACCAGACTATCCCGACTGTAGTCCAGAGGTGACGCTGAGGAACCCCAGAGGTCTAGACGATCAGTTACTAACAACTATTAATTCACAAATTAAGCAAAAATTACTTGATTGTTTAGGCCAACCTGTTGTGTTTGAACTCATCGAGGTAAGCATTTCAATGTGGCTCTGTACTGCACCAACCAATGTTCCAGTGAGTTATAACAGCTATAAACAATTTGTTTCTTACGTTTTCATGCACACACTCAATAAATAAAACAAGTTTCAACGGGTTAGATGTACTGATTTTATTTATTTATTGATGTTTCACTTCTTTTGCAGGAATTTGTCATTGGAATAATGTTTTTTTTTTTCAAAGTAAATAAAAAAGAAACATTATTTCGTTATTAAAGGATGCAAAACCCTTTGAAACTCTTTTTATTTATAAACAACTGGTTTACTCATAAGTAAACCATATGCAAACATGTTCTTCAAGTTCAGTTTTTATTCATTTGTTGATTTTCATAAATTTTGCAGAGGGAATGATCCAATTTAGTTCTTAGTTGTGTTATCTTGCATCACTGAATTGTTTTTGAGGGTTCTGTACCTCAAAAGAAAAAAACGGAACCCTTATAGGATCACTTTGTTGTCTGTCTGTCCCTCTGTCAAGACAGTTTTTCTCAGGAACATGTGGAGGTATCAAACTGAAATTCATATCTAATACTAAGGTAAACTGTCCCTTGGAGCTGTGAAAAAATTAAAATTCTAAGCCAAAGCAATCAAAAGATACAGCCGTTTATGCTGCAAATTTTCGAAACTCGCACGGGCATCAAAACCTGCAGGGTACTTCCCGTGATCTTAGAATCTTGAACTTTTGTATGAAGTAATGTCTTGTCGTACAGATAAAGGAATAATTGCGAAAACCGTAAATTTTTAGTTAAATCCTATACTAAAAAATATTTTTGTTCAGGTTTGTATGGAACCCTCGATGCGCAAGACCGACTCTCACTGGCCTGGCTTTTTTCTTGTAATTTAATTTGTTAAATCTTTTAATAAGAGATTAATTTATTTAAGCTGTTAAGAATCAATACAAAGTTCACTTTTGTTTCAGCTTATCCGTGAAAATTTAACTGAAAGTAATCTTCCTAGTGGTCAATGTGTCATTTGCCTCTATGGTTTTGTGGACGGTGATGTGTTTATCAAAACTCAGTGCTATCATCATTTCCATAGTCATTGTCTTGCCAATCATTTAATTGCTGGAAAGAAATACTATCAAGAAGAATTAGAAAAACTTCCAAATTGGCAACAAATGCAAGCACCACCATATCAAGTAAGTTTTTAAAAGTACTAGGGTAATCTACCTAATTATTGCCAGTTGCATAAATATGCTACAGATAATACAATTTTTTTAGATTCGAATTTGAATATGGGTGTAATTCAAATAGGATTCACATTAATTTTTGATGTGTAACATCTTTCCTCTCGCTTTCCTGCAATTTCTAGGAGTGATTTTGTGAAATGGAGCGGAAGTGTGTAACAGGAAGTTGCGAAAGCGCTATTTGATTTGATTTTAGAACATAATGTTCAAATGGTTTATTCCTTTTGAAGTAGGTTTTATTTCTTTTTTTACTAATATAATGTGAGGTTTTCAAATGTTACACATCATATGCGACTACTGTAATTCTTGCTCGTTTTTTTTATAATTAAACTCTATTACTTTTTAATTACCTCCACATTTTTTTTTTATAAAACTTATTGAGCAATAAAGTAATTATTAAAATTCATGAAATACCCGTAAAACAATTACAATGTGACAGTGCAGTTGTGATGCTGAAGTTCATAACAACAAACTAACAAAGAAGCTCCATGTTCACAAGTAGTGTCAAAGTCAATAAGACCTAATGCGAGTTTGTAGTGTGTGCCCACCTAACCTCTAATGTAACCGTCAAATTATTTGTTTTGTTGATATAGACTATAAAAGAGCGAGCACTTAAAATGCCCATGTAAGGTGTAAATTTTTAATGTATAATTTTTACCCATTTTAAACTATTTTTTCAAAGTTGAATATTTTTATGCTGCCTATACATATAAGGAATATATTAAGGAAATGTAAACTACTAAATAAAAATATTTTAAATAATCATGCATATTCCCTATTATTAAGAACTTTACATACAATAGATATACATATTTTGTTTGATAGATTACTATCATCTCAGGGTTACCAAAAAAAACTTTTTATTTTGAATCCAAATTTGATATTAGTCAGGAGAGGGTCGTCTAAAAATTGAAAAAAAATCTATAACTTTAAATTTTATTTGTTACATATTACGATATCATTAACTATCAAACACCATTGGCATGACAGTAGCTAAGTCTAGATTTTTTCTAGTTTGTATAAAATTACTTAAAAGGTTTTGAACAATCCCATAAATTTATTGGTATGTTTTGACATATTTTGTAAGATTAAAAATGAATAAATTGTATTTATTAATTTTAGAACTTGGTTGTTTAACTATATAATTTTTTTGGAAAATGTCAATGTATGAAATGTGTTAAACAACAAGTATAATTGTTTTTGGAGTCCAACAAATTATTGTTTAGAAAAAAGTAACTTTATTCCTGCCAAATACAAAAACATTAAGTTATTCATTTCACATAGTTAATTTTTTGTATATAGCAAACATGCCCTGTCTGCCGCTGTCCAGTTTCCTGTGATGTTGATGTACTGAAGAATGCTCCTCCTCCAGTGGACTCCGTAACCGCCCCACCATTTTGTTTGACTGCAGAATTGAAAGTATGTTACTATTACAAGAGTACAGAGTTACAGATAACTTGTAGGCAAATAATACTGATTTAGTTTGGGACATTTTTTTATAAAAGGTTGTGTTAGGGGAAAACTGACATTGATTCTGCTTAGACAAAAACATATCATATTGAAGTCACCACCTATAAAATATAATATACATAATAAGTTTTTTTTTAATGTACTGACACTGAAGAACTATTCATACCCTTCATTCTAAATCACAAGATAATAATTGGGGTGTATTTATCCATAGCATATATAATTAATAGAATCCTAAAAAGACAAAAATATTTTCTACATAATTGAGGAACTGGCAAACAAAACAGTATAATTACATAAAATTAAATTTTACAGGAGCTGTATAAAACTGAATGACATACCTACAGTGAGGTATTGGCATGGTTTTTAATTTATAAATTTTGTAATTTCAACACTGTTTTAGGTGGTTTTGATTGAAAATTATTTGAGATTTAATATCCACAGGCTTGAAACCTCCAGACTGTAAAAAAAAAGTAATTCGACCAGATGCGTAATTATACCGTTTTGCTCGCCAGCTCCTCAATTATAAATTGACTAGATCACTTATTTACCCTAGGTCTCATAAAGCTTAAGATAAATTTTATAGACTTCATATTACATATTGTAATGTAGACAAATCGTAACTTTCCACAGGCACTGCAATTAAAAATGGCGGCTCTCTTAGCGCAACAGGTTGCCAAAGGAGGAGTGGTAGGAGTGGGAGACACTGGACCGCCTCCTTTAACAATCACTTCACCGTCTGACCAAGATAATGTAAGTTCCTTTATTGAAGGAGACCGACTTTGAATGCGATTTTTTGATTAAAGATCTCTAAAGAAACATAACTTTATTATTTTTGCTGTATCAGAATTAATTAGTAATATATTACTTATAGTTTTTTTAATCCGTAGTTTGTTCCCTGCTTCTTTTTTCATCTGTAGGCTAAAATTGGGGATAGCTTCACATAATCGGACCCGGCATTAATCGGCACAGCCGGGTAGTAAAATCGAATATGTGAGGATGAATGCCCGGTCGTGGGGTGCTGGCATAGAATATTGCACCTTCCCAGCTCTTCCCGTGGGTGTCGTACAAGGCGACTAAGGGATCACCAGGAGAACGGGCAGCAGCGTTCTCCTGAGTAACATTACATCTACTGCGATCGCCAACCCGCCTGCCAAGCGTGGCGATTATGGCAATAACCCCTCAAATGAACAAAGGCATAAACACAACGCCCCCGAGTCACGGCGACCCCCTCTATTCCGGCTCACGGTGGCGGGCCTGGTAACGGCGGGGTACGGGGTGCTAAGTATCTCCGGTCGAGATCCGGCCACCAAATAAAACAGACTGGCCCTGGTAACACACAACATTCGCACGCTCAGGGCTGACGAGAGGATTGCCGAGCTGGAAGAGGAATTGAGCAAGATTCGGTGGGACATTGTAGGGTTGTCAGAAGTCCGAAGACAGTGGGAGGACACGATAACCCTCCGGTCTGGAAACTTGCTCTATTACCGGGAAGGCGACGACTTGTCGCAGGGCGGTGTCGGGCTTATTATTCGTAAGTCTCTCGTAGCCAACGTGGAGAGGATTGCGAGTGTGTCGAGTCGGGTAGCGTACCTGATACTCAGAATAACCAAACAGTATTCGCTCAAGGTTATCCAGGTCTACGCGCCGACCGCGACGCACCCCGACGATGAGATGGAGGCTCTCCACGAAGATATCTCGGGAGCCATCCGCTCATTCAAAACTCACTTCACTGTGGTTATGGGAGACTTTAACGCGAAACTAGGCAAAAGGAAAAACGGTTAGTTGAGAGTAGAGCAATGCGGATTCGGGCAGAGAAACCAGAGAGGGCAGAAGTTGGCTGATTTTTTGGAGAAGGAAAATTTCTACATGATGAATTCCTTCTTCAAAAAGTTGCAACAAAGGAAATGGACCTGGATAAGCCCTAATGGTTCGACACGGAACGAGATAGACTTTATCTTGTCAGAAAAACGGCAAAAATTCAAGGATGTCTCATTGATCAACAGGGTGAAAACCGGGAGCGATCACCGAATGTTACGGGGCACATTGAATATTCGTGTCAAAGCCGAGCGGTCCCGACTGATGAAGTCTACTCTACGTCCCACACCTGCCGAGTACGAAAACCCCGAGAGCTTTCGACTCGAAATTCAAAATCGCTTCCAACGGCGAACGATATGAACAACAAGTTTGTGGAAACTGGCAGGCAATTCGAGGCAGGAGTCGCAGGAGGTCCTTTGTCTTTGTCATTAACAAGTGGTAGAGTTAAATTTGGACGATTCAAAAGAATTGTAGCTCTATTATGCTTCATATTTGAATAAAGAATGTTCCATTTTTGTTTTTATTTTATTTTGGTCTTTGTTTCTTAGGTTTTCACGCGCATCACTCATTATTCTATTTGACTCTGTAGGAAGCAACAAATGGGTCTTCAAGCGTGGCCCAAGAGGGAGCGAAGGCCGAAGCGATCGGTAACGGTCGGCCGAATGGCAGCGGCTCCAACGATAACTCGTCGCCGGGATCACCGCATTCGCGCCCTGTCTACCGTGGACCATACAGGTGAGAGAATATAGCTTGTTTTAATTGGGAACTAATTTTTTGAGCTGTTATTTAAATATTCGAGATGTTATTATGATCAGTTGAAAAACATATTGAGCAGTATTTAATTTAATGGCGGTTGATTAATTATTGCGACAGTAAAACATGGACAGTAATAAAAAATCAATTAGTCGGTTATTTTATCATACAATGTCCATTCTAAAAATAATTGAGCAGTCCATTAACTGAATGAGCGGTAAAAATGATAGAATGAGCGGTTCTATAAATTGTTCTGCAGATCATAGCGAGCAGTGACACCCGAACCCAAATTCATTGAAAAAAGAGATAAATGTTCGTTAGTTGGGATTGTTAAAACTTTCCACTCGGACAAAAAAGGAAGAGAGGCCGACCGTCGAAAGCCAAACCTGCTCTTTTTATACAATAAGTTTATTTTAGCTGCTACTAAGTAAATTCTATGTCATTTTAATTACTTAAGTATGTTTCAAATTACGAATAGAAGTTCCTATTATTATTATACAATTTGTTTTATTTAAATTCTTCAGTCAAAGCAAATGTAATTTAATTTTTCATTACTATATAAGTACCGTTTTTTTTTACCACCACATTGTATATAGAATTGCTTAGAATGAGATTTCTTACCGAAAAGTTCCGATTTATTACTGCCCACACGTAACCGCTCGTTCAATATTTTTTACCGCCCATTTAAATATTTTCCTGCTCTATTATATATTCACTGATCCATTTTATTATTTTTATTGCTCAATTTTGTTTACTGCTTACTTTTAACTGCTGAACTAGTTATTAAACGTGACATTTATAATTTTTATCTTACCAAAACTGCTATTTACAACTGCCTCTTTAAATCAGTGCCGTTTTAATTCATCATTTAATGACTTGTTCCTTCTGCTACAATGGTCCTGGGTTCGATTTCCGACAAGGACGTCTGTTTGTGTAATGAACATAAATATTTAAACTACTTTAACATAATAGGCTATTTGACAAGTTTTTGAAAACACTCATACGTTATTTATTTATTTGTGTATAGTGACTGTGGATACTTATAATTAATATAACTATTACGTACTGCTCGTTTTCCGTAGGTGATAGCGTGATAATATATAATGTTAACCCGACTTCTTAATAATATTCCTGCCAAATTTGAAGTAAATCCATGCAGAACTTTTTGAGTTTATCCCGGACATGCATACAGACAAACAGACAAAAATTCTAAAAACTATATTTTCGGCTTCGGTATCGAATGTAGATCACACCACAAGTATTTTTTAAAAAAAATATTCAATGTACAGTTTTGACTTTCCTACATTTTTATTATATGTGAAGATTACCAATAAAATCTAAAATAAAAATTATGTTTACAAATATGCCGCGGAAACGTTTCTCTAGCAAATATGGCATGTTAACAGGCAGGTGACGTCATTTTAGGCTCCGCCAATCCTAGGCGTTTTCGGTCACGTGACAATAGATCAAAAATACATTTTGTATTTCATAATTTTAGTAATATTATCAAATATTTTTTTTGTCAGAATAGTGAAATTGCCCCCAATATTCATGTTAAATACACATGCCAAAATTGATACTTACTTTATTTTTCATACTGTCAAATAGCTTATTGTATATGTCACCGGCAATATGTATAATGCAAGTATTCTATACAATACCTAGGCAATGTATAGAATACCTGGGGCGTCAAAACAATATATGGAATATTATAAATATTATTTCCTATTTTATACTTTGCCTAGGTAATGTATACAATTCCTAATACTAATTGTAGAATGTGTACGGGAATGTGTAAAAAAACAGATTTAGCAAATCCTATAAATATATAGTCCTATATATAAATAGATTTTACAAATCCTGCACACATGTGTATCGTTTGTATGCCCAACTCGACAGAGTATGTATGCCTACTCCCCCTCCTGTAGCACTATTTGCTAAATTTTTTGACACTAACGTAACTAAAGTGAAAATTGGAAATTCGTCGATGCTTTTCAGGGCAAATATCTGAGTGACATTATAATAAAGCAGTAGTGGATCAGATAATAGCTCGGTGACCATTACTTCCATCTGTCAAAAACCATTAGCGAATAAGGCCTACTGACCGCGTCAGCCGTGTTGCTCTATCATTTCGATCTATGTCTGTAGGTTGTTGCAATAAGATTTGACGACCTCCGTGGCCGGGTGGTTTGTACGCCGGGTTTCATGGTGTCGCCGACTCGAGAGGTCCCGGGTTCGAATCCCGGTGGGGTTGATGTTTGTATGATGAATACGAGCATTTGTACTCAAGTCATAGATGTTTTATATGTATTTTCTATATAAATATACTTATATATGTACAGTATGTGTATTCTATCCATTACCCTAGTATCCCATAACAAGCCTTACAGTGCTTACGTTGGGGCTAGGCTAATTGGTCTGAGTGTTGGAAATCATCATCATCATCAGCCTATTAATGTCCCCACTGCTGGGGCACAGGCCTTCCCTATGGATGGAATAGGGAGATTGGGCCATGACCCACCACGCGGGCCCACTGCGGATTGGTCGGTGCTAACGACTGCATATGCAGCCGAGACCAGCGGCTTAACGTGCCTTCCGAAGCACGGAGGAGCTCGAGATAGTAAATTTTTGGTCACCCATCCTATAACCGACCACTGCCAAAGTTCTTAACTTCAACGATCGCAGCCGACCGCGTTAACCACTTGCGCCATCGAGTTCCTCTATTGAGTGTTGGAAATATTTATTTATTATTTAATAATACAGGAGCTAAGTAGTGTATTATGGTATAATAGGGGCTTCAATCGGCGCGGCAAGCCGGGGCGGCGCGGGCGGGGCGGCCCCCGGTGACCCGCGCCCGCAGCCGCGCCGCCGCCCGCCGCCTAGCGCCGCCCCTACACAATCCCCCAATACACGCCCCTACTCCCTACCCTTCCCGTGCAACTACCACACCTACCTAACAACCAGAGGAGAGGTCGACAATTGACAACAAATGACGATACCGAAAAAACAAATCACGATATTCGAGACCGCGAGTTCAGACCATACCTACCGTACAACCCGAGGAGAAGTCGACGACTGACAACGAATGACGATATAGAAAAAATAAGTGACGATACTCCAGAGTTTAGACGACGTACAGATCGAGGATCGAGAACAGATGCCGATATTGAAGAACATGCGCTTTGGCGAGCTACAGAGCTGACATCCGACCTAGAGAAAGGTCTACGATCAAAAATAAGTGATGTTATTGAAAAGCATGCGCTTCGAGGAAAGCTTCCAATCTTTATCCATCTTCCTTCGCGAGGTCTGCAAATAAAACAATGGCGAATCGAAAAGTACGTGGACTTTCCTGGTATACCTGCAACTTGCTTCAAAGAGCTCTCGAAATTCTTTCTTCCGGATGAAATATGCCATCAAACGCCACGGTGCGCATATAGAGTACTTCCAAGCTTTATCTTTCGTCTTAAGAAAGTTCCTCGAATGAAACAGTGGCGTATCAAAGTTTTTCATCAACACATTTCCATTCCGATAAGTGTACTGATAGAAAAGCTGTATCCAGCGCTTCAGAAAATATATTTTAAGCTCTTACTCTTAGCAGGTTTAGCAGATTCACAGAAAGAGCAAAATACGATTCGTCAGTATGTTGAGATGAAACTAAGAACAGATCTTCTAAAACCTGATGGTTTCCATACTCAAAGTCGATTGTTCCGAGCAGTGACTGCATTCAGTTTGAAAATACAGCTCTCAGCTCCGTTTCGACGATATGCATACGCCCGATTCACGATGAATTCTCACCCAAGTGAAGGGTTACTTCAAATACCTAAGCGAGTTCGATCCTGGACTCGATACTCTCCGCAACATGTCAGTTCTCTAAACAGGATATTTGCGTTTTCTTCGAGGCTATTCGGTAAGTTCATCAAAGGAGTCGTCTACGTGTTAGGGTTTTTCTCGTGTAAGAATTCGTGTGAGTTCTCAGCTCAATATAATGGTAAGTTTTTTGGGAATGAGTTTATCTCGACTAATAGATCGTTTAATATTCTGGCTAAAATACAGCTATGCGTTAATAACGAATCTCTGATTTTGGGCGCTCACGCGCGTTGTGTTCCTTGGCTGTCGCCGAAAATGAGACTGACGATTTACCTTACATTTTTGACCCGATTTTTACAGCCCTTAGTTTAAGTACCTGTTTTAGTCGTGGACCACATTTATCGAGCTTTATATGCCTTTGAGTTTTTATACGATGTTCGACTGTGGTTATTGTTTAATATTCTTTCACTCTGCGTCGGCAATGGGTCGTCTTTACTCCAAACTTCGGGGCCATTGCACAAAATGGTGAGGTTTTTTGGCATTTGCAGAGGAATTTCTTAAATACTAAATTATATAGAATGGGTGCTATTTCGCACAGTTTTTAAATCTGACTTCAAAGAAATTTGCAGTTATTTACCGATACTTCCATTTTTAAGAAATATCATTATTATAACATATTTTTTTCTATTGATCATTTATATATTTGTTTATGGATTTCCATGTCCATCTTTGAACCTAGTACCTACTTAACTAATATTTCCCAAAGTTTCTTCTACTTTGTTTGTATGTTGTGTGTAAATCGTCAGTCTTCATTATATGTTTTTAATTAAGAGAATATTTATATCATTATCCGAGAAATACTAAATGTACAGCAAAATAATACAATTGCCAATGTAAAGGTTAGATTGGGTTATTTTGATATTGTGAATTCGGTATTTTTGGGATCGTTTAAATATGACTATTCAATTTGACGTTATTTGTAAGAATTGTGTTCATAATTTTCCATCAGCTCAATATTGTGTGTAAATAATTTAATTGTGCTATTTTCAATAGACACCTGAAATTATGTATTTTTTCCGAGTTATGCGATTGTTGTTTGAGCTATAATTATTTTTAAGCTGAGAACAGCACCGCATTGGTGTGGATTCTGGCATAGATTCCCTATACTTAAAATCAAAATGGACAACAGTGTATCCCTGTCATTCCCTAAATAGAATGAATAAAGGAGACTAAAGTTAAATTTCGTTTTAAATTTTAGAGAATCATGCCGGAGTCGACTGCATTATCGCACTAAAACTGCCAATTTGTTTCTTTAATGTCGCCATTTTATCAGTCGTAAATTTCAAATGTATTGATTGTAGTAATGAATGTATTGTTACAAAGCTGTCTCAAGTTTTGTCAGCCTTCCCCCTCCGCTAAATGTCCTGAGTTGCCAACATGGGGCGGCACAAAGCATTATATTAATATTCGTCTAATATATTCTTAGCTTAAGGTACGTTCTGTGACATACCTAGTCAAAATGGTAGCGTGTCATAATTGTAATATTTGGATGACTTATTGTTGAATTCTCTCGCACAGCTCGTACAGTTGGGTTTTAAAATTTGCTCCCTATACTGCTGTTCTTATTGCGCCATTACAATGCTTTTATATGTATGGAACAAGCAAGCTGTGTAAAATTTATTAATAAATAGTTATATTAATAATTCATTTGCTACTGTACCAACGAAAAATAGCACGTCTGGCTTTGCTAGTGCAAAGCCAGACGTGCAAAATTGAAATCGCAAAATAGATTAACGATTGTCATTTAGTAATGACAATCGTTAATCTATTTTGCGATTTCAATCCAATTATTAAGGTTGAAAATGCTAATAAAACATTTTGAGACTTGTTTATCCAAAGAGCAGCTGTGTGTGTATTGAACTACTATTATGTGAATTCAAAATACCTGCATATTTGTACAATGCTTACGATACCTATATATTACATTGCACGATCACATGCAGTTTCTCGACATTAACAGTAGAAAGACAAATTCGTTAAAATATAATTTAGTTTCAATTAAGTAATTATTTTTAAGAGATGTTGTAGAAGGTTCTGTGTGATTGCTAATGCTCCTTGTCTATGGCAGCCATTTTTAAACTTCGAAAATGGTAGCTACATAAAAAAGAAACTGTACACAATTTTAATGGAACATAGAAAAGTATTGCGGTTCTGTATGGAGGATTATTAGCTACCTTTGTTTACATAAAAAACTTAGGGTTTTCTAATAACAGCAGTATACTCAAACGTTTCTTAATAATCGAGGTCTTTTTTTGTTGACATGACAAAATGTATGTACTTCATGCCCGCACTTCACTTGGCTATTCGTGTTTGCTATTGGCAAACTTAATATCAGTCTGTGCTTTTTAAGAATGATAAGGACAGACTGATGTCTATCTAGTTAACAAATAGCAAACACGAATAGGCAAGTGAAGTAAAATGCCGGAATCATTAAAAAGATTTCGTACAGTTTGAATATTTCTTCGATACTCTATTATCAGAACAATTTGTGTATGTGTGTTTTGTTAATGGTTTTTTAATATTTTTTTATACACAGAAAAGTTTGAAATATTTTATTAATACGTACTTAATTTTTTATTTTAAGTTCCTATTTGAATTAGGTTCAAATCTATTTTATACGTAAGTAAAACAGTTTTTGCTCATTCTTTTTCAAAAATGACGTATTACGCTAGAAGTATGTAATTAAGTAGAACCTTAATTTGGTTCAACAATAAGTTAACCAAACCACATAGTAATAACTTATTTTCCATCACATTTATTGTGTAATAGTTAATTTATTTTTCTTGATATTTAAAATTATGTAATAAATCGTTTTATTATAAAATTCATAGGTATTATTATTTTGTTGACTTATTTTTTCTATGAATTTAATATTTCGTGAGTTTACTTCTTTGACGCTTATTACACTTTTTCGTGTTATAAATTTATAAAAGTGAATCAATATGTAGTTGCAAGTTCTAGTAAATACACGATTCATAATACTCATAAATATGAAATTGATTACGTGTATTTGAATCTACTTTCGTCTTGTGATTTAAAGTGTTGTTGTTTTTAAGGTTTTATTAATATATGGGTTTTTGTTTACTGGGAATTTGAAAATATCAAGTTTTAGATACATTTTAATAATAGAATATCATACCGTATTTCATAGTATACTTAAGTAATTGTGTTTTTTTTTATTTGAATACTAATATTTTAATTAACAGTTGTATAATTCGTTAGCGTATATGTTTTTGTCTATTAATCATTTCTTTACTTCACTTTGTAAACCAGGGCCGGATTTAAGGCTAGGCAGGCAGAGCTGTGGCCCAAAGGTTCCCCCTAGGGAACCAACAGAACTAATAATACTCAAATTTCGACGGGCCAAATCGTAAGTGGCCCAGGTTGCCATATCTTAAAATAAGATTCCTAATTCTTCTTCGTTGCCCCAGGGCCTCCATCACAAAGTCTGACCCTGTTTTATAAACGGGGATTTAGGGATGACAGACTCACTCCACAGATGATGCTTGTGTGAGACAGAATAAGTGAGATAGACTGACAGCAAAACACCATTCTTAAAAATTTCCAGTAACCATTTACCTGTTTTTTATAATATTTTAATGTTTCGTGTATGTTTTATAATTAGTGTTATAGATCTGGGCTCCGGCACTATCATATTAAGTATAATAGACTGTCTTATGTTACCAACATATTATTATCAATGATTTATGTAGTTCCATATACAATTAATTAAAGGAAATAATTTAAATTTGTTCAAAACTTATGTTTAACAAGATTGTGTCATTGACAAGAAACCATTCAAAACTAGGATATAGGAAGATGGAGGGTTTTTAAGTTTGAATCTTTAATTAAATTTTGAGTTTTTCATTACAATGACTTGTGTCCCAAGCAGAAACTTTGACAGGTCCGTATTCGTATCACCAGGACCGGATTTAAGGCTCTGGCCCAGGAACCCGCACAAAAGAGGTGCCCCCACCACAGAGAAGAAAGAATATACGAATACTTTCTCGCTTGTTTTTCGTGCTGGTACTGAGGTCGAAGTTTTTGCACCCATCTCACTCGGAGCCCTTGCTTATAATAAAGTGATAGTGTAAAAACAATGTCACATTTTCTTTTATTACTTGCCATTACTATGCTTAAATACGAATTTAATGCACTTTTTATACATATTATTATAAGTAGATATTCTACATTCCATCACCATTCGAAGATGTTAGTGATTACCAACATTTATTATTCTGTTGAATAATTAAAATGAAATTGTCTATATTATTATATGTTAATGTTATTTTCAGTTCCGATTACAGTTGTGTAGGTATTATTAAAAAAATAGTACTTTATTATTAAGTGGTTAATATTTGTTTTCAACACTCGTGGTTAGAAATGTTTGGGAAATTGTATTGTATGTAAGTACTTACCTATACATCGGCTATACTTACTGATGGTCACAGCTGTTCGACTTGGTATTTATTCAAAGTCGCAGCTGTATTTGCTTAATTAAGAATATCGAGTATGTAATAGTGATTTGGGTAGCCACAACCCATTTCGAGATTGTACGTACTACTGCTGGAAGGTAAAAAATAACCTTTGTCATTAAGGAAACCTTTTTTATTCATTTATTCAAAGATAATCTCTTAATGAGATAATGTCGCTTCTCTTCTTTTAACAACGACTAAATAAAGTATAAAACAAGTCAAGCTCAAGCTTTTCGTCTGGATTCTTTTCTTTCATTCGCGAAATTGTTCAGTGGATTTCTTATAAATTGACAATTCAAAGATCGGTAGTAAAATTTATATATTAGCATTTACCATGTACCTTATTAGAGGACAACAAAGACAGCACAATGACTTCATCAATTTCAAAATAACTATTTAAGTTTAAAACGGAGGTTGTTTTTTACCTTGCAGCAATAATTTTGCCAATATGACCACTCGCCGTTAAGTGTAATGATGGCACGTGCGTCGGAAATTATAATGATACCTACATTGTCAGTTTTTGTAATTTTTATCCTCGAATAGGTATTGATAATTGAATAAACACTTACCAAAGATTTCTGGTTTTTATCTCACTCAACCTTAGTGCTTAATGTTAGACACATGTTCAAGCTATCAAAAATTGTAAAGTTTCTCCAACTGATTTTGAGCTTTATCTTGCTTGATATATGATTCACGATAGAGAAAATTTGACATATTTTGATAACTTTTACATAGATAATTTAAGGCAGGGCAGGCGAGGCTGTGGTCCACAAGAGAGGGATCCCCACAACAGACAAAAAATAATCTGCTCCGGAAGCCAGATTTTAAAATACGTTAGGGGCCTCCACTCTTACGTTGCCCCCGGGCCAGCACACTTTCAAATCCGGCCCTGACTTGATGTGTTGCTGACTACCTATTTATTAGTATAGTATAATATAGTTTTAACCTATTTACTACCTAGTCCACATACATTCATCGGAAATCCGTATTACCTACATGCATTTCTTTACCGAATCTAAAATTTAGGTTCTATGTTCGTCTAGTATTTTTAAGTAAGTAATTTGTTGATCAAAATTATAGGAGGTTATGTATAAACGGAATCCGATACGTTTTAATATAAAGTTAAGTATAATATCTATAATAAATTAGTATAATGTACACGGAAGTACTTACTATAGGTAAATAGATTATCATACTAATCCTTTTACGAGAAGTCGATACCTTTCAACATCAATCAATGTTCGCTCAAACGGCTGACTATTGCAGCAGCATTAGAATTAGGCTAGCTTTCCACTCGGAGACGTCTACGTAAGCTATGTAGCTAACAGTGCCCTTTTAACCAAACAAATTATAATTTTCTATAATTTCAATCTATGACACAACTATTCCTATTTAGTTTTTCAGGGCGGTTTCCGCACTTGGTCCTAATCATTGGACCATTGTGCGTGTCTTCAAACATTCCCGTTTACTCCTGCCAGCCTAGGTTATTCCAAAAGGAAAGCAGCCTTGGCAGACTGCTGCAAGCTTCCGGAAGCGATGCTGGCGACTGGAGAAGTCGTGCCCGTTGGTCGGCCACACTCCTGCATTCCATGATGACATGCTGTGGCGTTTCTTCTACCTCCATACATCCTCTGCATAGGGGGATGTCTGTTACTCCTATTGTATATAGGTGCTTGTTCAGGGGACAATGACCAGTCAGGGTTTCTATAATTATGCGGGGTTTGTCCCTATTAAATCTGGTACCCTGCTGCTGCCCATACCCTGGCAAGTCTTGTTTGTCGCTGGAACTGCGTTTTTCGGTTGCCGGCATCCTTCACCTGTTTTCCACTCTGTCACGTGTAATTTCTGAGTTCTATTCCTATGGACTGGGTGAGCGGCTGGGCGGGATTTGGGGCTAGGAGTCGCACAGAACCCCGTCTCTCACCCAGGGGCGGGGTATACGTCAAGCATTTTCCCAAAAGGTCCTGGTTCGAATTCCAACGGCGCAAGGTTTATTTTTTTAACTAATGATTTTAAAAGTTACACTTGCAACATGTTTTTTTTCGTTTATTTTTGCCACAAAATAATGTCACCAATCACAATATTATCATTTATTGCAGAGTATTGATTAAATACATTAGTAATTGGGGGATCAACAACAATGTCCATTATGGAACGATATTCTTTAGCAGAAACGGTTTGTATCATGGGATTGTATGTTTTGTACTATTGCCCAGCACCACCAATAGGTAGTCAAGTTTTTCACTTTTTAAACGGTGCAACGAAGCCATGCTTTTAAGAGAAATGGAAAGATGAGAGGTAGTAAAGTACAAAACTAAGTTAAATAAACGGGAACCAATGACACTTAGCATTTATGGTTACGATTACAAGTTTCATAGCTAAGGCAACGCTCACAGCTTAGCATGTGGAATGGCAGCCTTATTTTGTTTGAAAGTAGCCGCGGTGCACCGAATATGGCGCGGGGCCTTGGTATGTTTCCGATAGAACATAATTTGCATGACCTCACTATGGCTATGGACGCAGCCGAGGTCCAATCTACTTTTAAGGGGAGTTTTTGTACGCTCGCCAATTTCAAGCTAATACCTAAAAATATTGGTACGATTCATTACTAGCTTCAATTCAAAGGTATACCTACCTTTAAATTTGACATTTACATATAGTCAAAAATACCTGTGTATAACTAACAATCGATAGCAGAGGTAGAGCATAGCGGGAATTCCGCTCGAACCGGAGCGCCTGTCTATGGAAGTAACCTCCATCTTACAGAAGAATTAACACTAGCTTTTGGTGGTGCTGTGTTTCTGTCGGTGAGTAAGGTTCCAGGGCTCCACAGGGTAGGGAATTGGGTCAGGGTAGGCAGGGTAGGTATTTTGAGTATCGCAAGCGTTTATGACCTAAGGTGGCCGCTTACCATCAGGCAGGCAATACGCATGTTTGCCACCCTTTCAAAGTAAAAAAAAAATAAACAATTTACTAAAGCTGGAAAATCATAAAACTTGACATTTGAACTTTTTAAATGTCTTTTAAATGATTTAAGGGTTCATTTCATATCACAGGAATTTAAATTTGTCCATTACCACCCGTGGGACAAAGTGGTGGAGGAAGTGGACTTAGATAAAAAGTGTAAGCGCGACTTAATGATTATTTGAAAAACAAATTCCCGATTGCCACTTTATTTTTCAGGCAGAAAGATTTCCCTTAAGAAAAATTCTAAAGTGCATGCAGATAAATATCTGGTAGGTAGAAGTTAGTCTACTTATACTAATATTACTTATTAAGAGGAAAGATTAGATCGTTTGTTTGTATTGAATAGGCTCCGAAACTACTGGACCTATTCGAAAAATTCTTTCACATTTAGAAGAAATAAAATCGTTATCCATGATAAGCATATCAACATAGGCTATAGAGTATTTTCAAAAAAGTTAGGGTTCCGTATTAAAGCTTCGGTAATATAACCCAATGTGTTAATAAAACCAAAAATAACCTTATGTTGCGTACGCTTCGGAAGTCATTGACAATAGAACAAAGTGATGTATTAAAGTTTTATAAAGGAAATCAATATCTACAAAAAAGTCCGCGATACCATATATGTCTTAACTATCACAGTTATGTCACAACTATCCCCTGCGGTTTCACCCGCGTTAATTTGAAGAAAAAGGTTATAGTGAGTCGATCTTAAAATAGGGACACATGCTGCCGCGGACTTTTACAGAATTTTTAAAAGGCAACAATTCTGTTATTCGCTATTTTTGTTGAAGTTTGAAGTAACCGTTTACCCAGCGCACGCTAAGTTCTTCTTTCATAAAAGTCGCTAAATGGTTGGTAGTAGGTAAAATTCACATTGTGACGGAACTCTAACCGTGCAACCCTCAGCGAGAACTTCGTCTTCACTCGCAAGTACTCTACGATATCCTCTTCGTAGAGTAATGCAGTCGGGACATGTACAGTGGCATCATCGGTATAGCAGGACGCAGCAGGTGGTTCGGTCCGGTCAAAGCAAGACCACACAAATTGCGGCAAGCGGGCTTCCTCTTCTTCCTTTCCATCTTGATGAAGCCCTCTTCGTCGCAAATCTGGTTTTGTGACACTGCTGGAGTAGCACGTTTTATGAAGAGTTTGCATTTTTTCTCTTTTGGATACACATCGGCAGGCCTGCGTTAGCACGTTGCGGTGCGGACGTGTATGCGCGTGACCTCTCCGGCGAGGCAGGAGGGCGGGCAGCGGCAAAATTGTTTTAAAGCCTTCCTCGATAAATGCACTATCCATACAAAAACATTTTTTTGAAATCGGAACAGCAGAGCAATGGTGCATTCGGCACAACGGGTCCTAAACTACGCAACAAATTATTTACTTGGAATGGAAGGTTATAATTATTATGAAGAAGGTAATTGTGTATAATACAAGCCTTTGAAAAAAAAACTATATTCTATTCTACAGCTCTACACCGAAGCGAAGCAAGGGCGAGCCACTAGTCTTTTATCAAGAATAAAAGTTTCAGTCTGTATAGTGGTAAATACCTAATCTCTGGTTCTGGAACTATTGTATTAGTTTTGAAAATTGTTTCACGACCACACATCGCTCGTATTTTTAAATTTAAATGTTTTTTAATAAGTGGATATCTAACTACATACATTATTTCCGGATCGGGCGATAATTCGCAAGTTTGATGTCAGCTTTCCATTTGACGACACTGTATGAAAAAAAGCAGCCCTTGCTAAGTTTCTTGCCGGTTCTACTCAGTGGAATGCCTCCCGCCGTAGTTTTGCGAACCGATAGCCTAGTTTTCGGCTTTCAAATGTGCTTGTAAAAACTAAACTGAATAAATATTTTTTGAATTGAATTGAAATATTCTACTGCATACCTAAACCAGGTAGAGTTCTCACTAATAAATCCTTGTTCTCCAACAATAAGTTACATAAGTATAATACTAGTAAACAAACCAGTTCAATCAACATAAGCAATAACATTAAATGTGCAATAACCTGTTAATCTTCTGAATTTGGTATATAAGGACATTTAAAGGCGCCCAAGCACGACCTCGGCAGGGTTGTACCTAATTTTTTTTTATTTTTCTGTTATACTTAAATACTTACAGCAGCCACACACCGTGTTACGAGAAACTGTATAATTATCCCAATAAAGTCTAAATCCAAGTAAAAAGTCCATCCAAGTAAGAAGTATTAGATATCTTGATGTGTGGCTGTATATAGGTACTTGTTCAGGTACCTTACATATGTCTAAAAGTTTTCTATACTGTTATTGTCTGAGCTCCATTGGGGAAGAGATTGGATAACTGGATTCCGCTCCACTTCGCATTAGTAAAAACACTTCGTTAGTTCATCTTTAATAATTCTATACGACTTTTCTAATTTAAGCCTCCCAAAGTAAAATTACAAACGAAATTAATTTTAGTACAAATTAAACCGTGCGCACTGTTTGCGGTTTCGGCCCTGCGGTTTTACTCATCCGCATAATTTGTGGTGAAAGGTTAAAGAAGTTCATCTTAAAAAGATGATGATGCTGTCGATGACGTTCTTTTATAGAATTTTGAATGACGGAATTGTTACCGTTCCGTCATACATTATTTTTGTGTAACTTTTACCGTTTACGCAGCGCACGCAACGGAAGCTCACAAATGGAATATAATATTCCAATTTTCCATCATTTTTCATAGGTGCTCCGCTCCGTTAGCGTTATGTTATACAGCCTATAAAGCCTTCCTAGATACATGCACTATCCAACACAAAAATATATTTTCAAATCTGACCAGTAGCTTACT